CCAGATCACCACGGAAACTTCCTACTCTGAGACGTTCAGTTTGACCCTTTTTAAATGGTTAAAAAACAAAAGAGAAATCTAAGTGGTGGGAAACACTGCAGGGAAATCTAAATCAAGGATTGTTTCTGGATTGATGTGGCCTGAAATGTCTGATGTCATGGCGGCTTTCTAAAATAATGTGATGCAAGGAGTTTTTTGCAATAAAATTGTGGGGATCAGTGAAAATTACAAAAAGTCAGAGCTTATTATTATGAGCATTCAGTGTTTCCCACAGAATTACAATCTGTTTATGATGACTGGAGGGTGACAGCTGATCACTGATGCTCAGCTCTTATTGCCGTTTGACGCAGCGCTGATGGACTGTCCCCGTGAGCCGCTCTCCTGCTCTCCCTGTTAGCACCAGCTAACACAGAACATGATCTCATCCCCACTCATCTTATTTTGCTGCTTCGTTTTAAACCCTGCAGCAGCAGACACAGAGCTATTGATCTCACACTGACATTGAACGGCTCGACTGTCATGAAACCTGTAAAAACTGTTGGGTAACGTTAGCTGTGTGATGCTAACATTTAGCTCTGTCACTGTGTGTGTGTGTGTGTGTGAGAGACAGTTGGCGCTTTTTAAAAGTTGAGGAAGGATCATTTAACGGCTGAATTTCAAGGAGGTGATGTCATCGAATCCCACCGAAGGACTGTTGTAGTGTCAAGGATCCTTCGAATTCTACCGAGGACAGAGTCCTTCCTTCAGAGAATTTTCAAGGATGCATGTGTGTACTCTCAGCGGGCATGAAGCACCCACAATTCTTTGCACATGATTTACCTGAATTGAAGGCGGGGCTTCGTCAGTGACCTTCACCTGAGCGCTTGCTAGCCTGTTCCAATATGTGTCCACTGGATGCTAGGAGGGAGTCTTGCCTAGCATCTGTAGGACCCAACTCCTACCAAGGAGGCATCCTTAACTTTTAAAGTCACCGTCTGTCCCGGACACAGAGCTCCAGTCCTGCAGCAGCAGTTTCATTCAACAGAATCAATACGCTGCATGCAGCTCTACAATGAAATCAGATTTTACCCGTTTTAAATCGTCACATTTGCAGTAAAGTTGTTGTGATTGGATGAAATTGCAAATGTGCACAGAATTCAAGTGGATGAATTTGAGTTAATTGTGGGACGGACCGACAAATGTAGCAGTTTAAGTTTACCTCAAAAAGTATGTACAGCATTTTGTGTTCATTCTATTGTACATGTACATTTTAGTAAGTAAATGAAGTTTAGCTGAGCTGTTTTTAATGTGTGTTTACTGTGTGTTTAATGTGTGTTTATGTGTATGTGTGTTTTGAATCAACTAAACTTTACAGCACTTCACAGAAACCCTGCTGCCGACTAGTGTTTTGGAGGTGTAACTGCAGAGACACAGACACACCACCACACAAGTATAAATGTGTAGACCACATGTGTAGGGTCTGTACACAATTATAAATCCCGCTGTCGATTTGGAAATCCAGCTCAGGATATATACAGTCCATAGAAGTGTATGACTCAACTTTTTCCCGTGGTCTGGTGCTGAACAAGTTAACAAAATTGCAACTAATTATAATATTGAATCATAATATTTGTAAAATCGCAATACGTTTCAAAGCGGGAGGTAAGCAGATCCCTCCTGCCCCACTTCTTATTGAACACTGTAGTATAGTTACCAAAAAGACTAGAAGTCAAAGGTCACTGTGAAAGTTTTAATTACAACTTTTGAATCCAAATATGTTGAGTTTCATGTCAGTGTAGATTTGTCAGCAGAGAACAAATATCTAGCTGCTGTAAGTCCAAATGCAGCTAATAAACACACTGCAGTTACAGTCAAAGTACGTTTAAGGACTTTCAGCGGCCTCAGCTTCTGGTGAAGAAAAGACCTTTTATTATTCTTCCAAAATAGACTTAAATTAAAAAATATGTTTGACGTAAGAGTGACTTTCTCTAGTTCGTCTTTACATATTAAAATCAAGATATTTGGCTGGTTTTTAATCTCAATCTTTTTTCTGCACTGACATTTTGATCAAAGTGGTTCTTTTTCTTCCAGTCAGGTCCCAGTGCGCTGAACAGCAGAGATGTTGCTTTAATAATAAATGACTTGTTTCAACAGCAGAAGCAGTAAATGCTCAATACACACACTTTCAGATGTGAGTGCTCCATTCAATACTGTTGATCATGCAGTTTTAATTGATGGCCTGAAGCTCTGGGTGGGAGCTCCTGATTCGGATCTTTCTGCATCACGACAGGAAACATGAGACATTTCAATTAAGGTTTCTACTGGTGCTAATCCTGTTATCTCAACTCTATGTTTTTAAATAATGTGACAAATTAAGATAAAACATACTTAATTGTTCCTAAGGGGAAATTTTGGGGCAATAGCGCTACACAGAGCTGCAGTCAACTTAAACCAATATGTATTTTGGTGGTCAAAGGTCACTGTGATCTCACAAATTATGTTTTTGGACATAACTCAAGGATTCATACATTTGTTATGACAAAACTTCACACAAATGTCTAACATGATAAAATAATCAACTGATGACATTTTAGATCCAAAAGGTCAAAGGTCAGCCTCACTGTGACATCATCATGTTTTAATATCATATCTCAGGAACAGAAGGGGAGACATTTGGTTTTGTTTTCACTAATGACCCTTTAAGGGCTGACATCACAGTGACATCACGATGACATCACGGTGACATCACGTTATCAGCTGGAGGTGCAGCTGCCTCTCCCCCACAGGGCTGTAGGCTCCACAGGAGTGTTAAAATGTGTTTGTCTTGTTGTGTTATTGGGAGCCAGAATAGAAGGAGTCATGGCTCAAAACCAGCCGCCACTGCCCGTCAACAAAAACAAAGACAACTATGGTTAAATGTGATAAGACCAAAGGACTGGACGGAGGCCATCATCAAAAATGCTCACATGTGCAGCGCACACTTCATATCAGGTTAGGGAAAAAGTATTTCCTGTTGTAGGGATGAATAAGGTTATGTGT